TCTTTCACTTCAGCCCTTTTACATTGGTAAACTCGAATTCGAGGAAGGAAGTGTAGCATGTTGAGAAATATTTTATATTGACGTATAGAATAAAAGATTAAACCATTATGCCATTTAAATCAAGCTCAAATTTTCCATGTTATTTATATTCATTACTGCATTGTTCCAACAACAAGATTACCAAAGATATGAAGTTACATAAGATTTTATGGTAAAATAAAGAACATCACCTTAACTACGCTCCCAATTAAAATAGAAAAACATTATAAAAACTAATCAGTGTGAAGCAAACGAAATACAAACATACGATATACAAAAGAAAAGCAGTCTAGTTTAATAAAGGTTTCAAAAACCTCCTCACCAAGAAATAATTTCATTTTCATCTTTTAAATAAGATCATTGATAATAACATAAAGTGCTTTTGACTACAAACAGTTGTTTTCTTAAGCACATTCAAGATAGCTACAATTTAAAGAAAACATACAAATGCTTGTTTTAATCATAGGTTGATCAATGCGCTTAAAGTGAATTTACCATCATATGAAATTTTGTTTAAACCTGATTGGGTTTCTGATTTGTTTTGAATCTGACGTCAAGTGAAGCCAGAATTCAGCAGCTTAACTATACTTAAGGTGCGAACAGACGATGTGCGCTGTCCGGTGCGGAGTACAGTGTGGGTATATCGATACAGTAGAAAATAGAAGAAACTAAATCGTGTCCGGACTCGTATCTTGTGAGTTCTATTTCTATTTCTATTTTCGTTTGTCTGGCGAACCGCACCGGACACCGTACCTCGTCTCTTCGCTGCAGTTTCACAATTATCACGATTTGCTTACAGGTCAACTATATAGACTATTATTAGTATTAGCTAGATTTTTGTTGCCGGCATTGAGCTCTCGATCTTCACGATAGCGAGAAAGCCAGTTTCCGTAAAGCTGAATCTTGCAGAGAACTAGCAGCTAGCCTATTTAAAGTCCACAAACGACTCAAATGCTGAATGGTCTCTTCAAAATGTCCGTTCTTGTGGGTTATTGATGTTACTGATGACACTAGACTCTATTTGTACACATCAAAAGATTCTTTAACATGACTATTTTTAAATCAGCTAACATAAAGTTTGTCATAAGACTTCTGTAAACAAGGTAGCGGAGTGTATCTTAAGAGTCAGTCGAGGACAAACCAACTGATTATAAAATAAATCATGTACTTCAAACTACAACAAGTGGTTGCCTAGCAAGATACGCCCACTTTCCTGATACATTTTCAGTATATCAAGTGCAGTCGCCAATCTGTGTTAAATCATACCAAAAATCTAATTTGTGCAAGATATTGTTGATTTAAACAAAGACAAATTATTTAATAGAATTCTGACATAAACTGTCACCTCTATCGCCAACAAATTTCCAAGGGCAATAACTCAAATTCCGTTGATCGAAAATATGTCAAATTCAATCTTGACTAAGATCTCATCATTATAAATGATCATATCAAATTTCATTTAAGTAGGATGAAAACTGTACTCTCTATTGTGTTCGCAAACAAATTTAGATGCGTTTTTCATAAATCAAGGGCAATTACTCCAAAACTGTTCATCGAAAGATAGCCAACTTCAGACTTGTCCAAGATCTCATCATCGTTAATATTCACATCAAATTTCATTTAAATTGGATGAAAACTGTAGTCTTTATAGTATTCACAAACAAATTTTGATGCGTTTTTCAAAAGTCAAGGGCAATAACTCAAAACTGTTCATCGAAAGATAGCCAAATTCGAACTTGGCCCAGATCTCCTCATTATAAATATTCACACCAAATTTCAGTTAAATTGGATGAAAACTGTAGTCTCTATTGTGTTCACAGCTAAATTTTGACGCGTTTTTCATAAGTCAAGGGCAATAACTCAAAAAAACGTTCATCGAAAGATTGTCAAATTCGAACTTGTCCAAGATCTCATGAATATAAACGATCATACCAAATCTCATTCAAATCAGATCAAAACTGTTGTCTCTATTGTGTTCACAAGCCAATTGTGGACGGACAGACCGACAGACAGGGGCGACGTCAATATACGACCACATTATAATGTGGGCGTATAAAAACGAACTTGTAAAATCAGAAAACATAATGTCGGTTGAAAATTATTGGGATTTAATTAATATTAGTTGTTTCTATTAACCTATATATCAATTGTTTCTATTAACCTATATTTCTATTTGTTTCTGTTAACCTATATATTAGTTGTTTCTATTAACCTATATATCAATTGTTTCTATAAACCTATATATCAGTTGTTTCTATTAACCTATATATCACATGTTTCTATTAACCTATATATTAGTTGTTTCTATCAAGCTATATATCAATTGTTCGTATTAATCTTTATATCAGTTGTTTCTATTAACCTATATATTAGTTGTTTCTATTAACCTATATATTAGTTGTTTCTATTAACCTGTATATTAGTTGTTTCTATTAACCTATATATTAGTTGTTTCTATTAACCTGTATATTAGTTGTTTCTATTAACCTATATATTAGTTGTTTCTATTAACCTATATATCAATTGTTTCTATTAATCTATATATCAGTTGTTTCTATTAACCTATATATTAGTTGTTTCTATTAACCTATATATTAGTTGTTTCTATTAACCTGTATATTAGTTGTTTCTATCAATCTATATATTAGTTGTTTCTATCAATCTATATATCAATTGTTTCTATTAACCTATATATCAATTGTTTCTATTAACCTATATATTAGTTGTTTCTATCAAGCTATATATCAATTGTTCGTATTAATCTTTATATCAGTTGTTTCTATTAACCTGTATATTAGTTGTTTCTATTAACCTATATATACACAAAGAAAAAGGTTCAGCACATCCTTAAACAAATCATGATAGTTTTGCACCAAGTTTTAATAATTTAATTAATATGGGATTTTTGAAAAGTAAAATGTGCCTTTAATAAAGTGGAGTAAACAAATCATGACAAAACATCTCCTGGAGAACATGAACCGCACGTGCAGTTTGCTACCCTTGTGTTTCTCAAAATGCAGTATCTTTTGTCACTTCTATTGGTTTAATTGTCTCATTCAAAATCGATCTTTACTCACACAAAGGGACATATGGCACGTAGACGCTTATCTGATGCCACAAGATGGCAAATAATCGGTAATGCAGGAATGTCTTAAAGTGCAATTGGATGGAATCTGGGTTATAATCACACTGTTATTAGTCGTCTGGTCAATAAACATCTTCAAACTGGCGCTGTGAAGGATCGACCTAGATCAGGAAGACCCCCAGTGACCTCACAGAGAGAAGACAGGGACCTTCAGCGCTTTGTTCGTCGAGAACCCTTTGCAACGAGTACTCGTCTGAAAAGCCTATGGCTGCCAAATCGTCGTTTCAGTCTAAGAACGCTCAGAAATCGGCTGAGAAGCACAGGAATGAAAGCCAGGAGGGTAATTAAACGCCCTTTGTTGACAGATCGCCACAAGGCAGCACGTTTAACATGGTGTATTGCTCGTCAGAAATGGAATATGAGGATTTGGAGTCGTGTTCATTGGTCAGATGAAAGTCGGTTCCTGCTCCATGTAACAGATGGCAGAACTAGAGTGTGGAGGCACCGAAACACAGCCTACACACCTAGGAACATCAGACCAACAGTTCCATATGGTGAGGGGTCCGTCATGATATGGGGGTGTATCTCCCATGACAGCAAGTTGGATTTGGTCACCATCAGGGGTAACTTGACAGGACAACAGTACATCTGTGACGTGTTGCAATCGATTGTGGTTCCTCATTTTGACAACCACAACTTGCGAGTCGACCACAATTCATGGACGATAATGCTAGACCACATCGTTCACGAGCAGTCAACGATTTTATGAGGACCAGTGTAATTACAACTTTACCATGGCCTGCTATGAGTCCGGATTTAAATACAATAGAACATATTTGGGATTTCATTGGGCGACGGGCACGTGAACCTCCTGTTCAAACTCTTCGGCAGCTGGAAGCAGCACTGCATCAAGAATGGCGACAATTAACATTAGAAGAGGTTCGACGATTCACTGGAAACATGAGAAACAGGGTACATTGTGTCATTCAAGCACGCAGAGGTTAAACACGTTATTGATGTTTTGAACTTATAAGGTCAAAATGATAATGTTAATGAACATTTCCAGTGCAAATTGTAACTCTTACCTCTATCTGTAAATTCTGTAACTCCATACTTTTTCATGTGTTAAAAATGTCAAAAATGAGTACCTCTCTGCCAATGTAATTTCCAATATTAAATCTCAAAGCAAATCTATCTCAAATGGTCTTCTTTGTTGTTAAATGTGCGATGGATCCGATGCAATTTGAAAAATTTAGTTCCGCTTTGTGCATCATATAATTTTGATTATGATGAAAAAACTGGGATGTGCTTTTTTTTTTCTTTGTGTATATTAGTTGTTTCTATTAACCTATATATTAGTTGTTTCTATTAACCTATATATTAGCTGTTTCTATTAACCTATACATCAATTGTTTCTATTAACCTATATATCAGTTGTTTCTATTAACCTATATATTAGTTGTTTCTATTAACCTATATATTAGTTGTTTCTATTAACCTGTATATTAGTTGTTTCTATCAATCTATATATTAGTTGTTTCTATCAATCTATATATCAATTGTTTCTATTAACCTATATATTAGTTGTTTCTATTAACCTATATATCAGTTGTTTCTATTAACCTATATATTAGTTGTTTCTATTAACCTATATATTAGTTGTTTCTATTAACCTATATATTAGTTGTTTCTATTAACCTATATATTAGTTGTTTCTATTAACCTATATATTAGTTGTTTCTATTAACCTATATATTAGTTGTTTCTATTAACCTATATATTAGTTGTTTCTATTAACCTATATATTAGTTGTTTCTTTTAACCTGTATATTAGTTGTTTCTATCAAGCTATATATTAGTTGTTTCTATTAACCTATATATTAGTTGTTTCAATTAACCTATATATTAGTTGTTTCTATTAACCTATATATTAGTTGTTTCTATTAACCTATATATTAGTTGTTTCAATTAACCTATATATCAGTTGTTTCTATTAACCTATATATTAGTTGTTTCTATTAACCTATATATCAATTGTTTAAATTAACCTATATATTAGTTGTTTCTATTAACCTATATATTAGTTGTTTCTATTAACCTATATATTAGTTGTTTCTATTAACCTATATATCAATTGTTTAAATTAACCTATATATTAGTTGTTTCAATTAACCTTAAACATACAATAAATACCCCATTCGTATCATGTAGGAGAAAATTTAAATGTTGGTTGATATGAACAATTAATGTGATTCATTTAAAGCATTTTGAAAGGTTGATATCTGGATTTACTTTTTTTCTGGTAAAAAGACAAGCTCATTTGACACTGATTGAGTCACTGGAATATAAATACATCAAAATAAAACAAAACTGGACAAAGATTCTTTTTTCAATTTGAAGGAATGAAATTGGTACATGAATATTTTTTGTTAAAATTGAAAGAAATATATCTTTAAGCTCTTTTAGATGGTTTGGTTAAGACAAGTATTTCAACAGGTTTACATAGTTCAATATTTTCTGGTATTTTGGTATTTCTTCTTCCAGGAATCGGTGCTACTTTCATCACAAGACTTATTTCTATAGGACAAGATTCTGAAAAGTACATATAAAAATTCAAAAAAAAGAATCCAAATATTACTCCTTGCTGCAATTCTAGGTAATTTCAGGAATTGTATAGGAAATTGGCATGGTGCCAATGGAAGACGTGTCTACATCAAAAACCTAAGTTTGAGTACTGATTGTTAATTATGTAGCTAGTTTAACTAACCTGTTTTGATGTTGGGCCTCATATAGACTCAATATTTTTTAGTTGAGACCTTTGGAATGCGTAGGAGACATATTTTTTTCTATTATGTAAACCTAATTATGTAAATTAACATTAGGATTTTTTTAGTTAAAACTTTCAGATAACCCCAGGGACAAGTTTTTCTGGACTTTGGTATAGAGTTTTCATAAATGTGACCAAATTTATTTTCAACCTATATGTAAAAAAATGAATAACCATTTAAATATAATTCCAACCTACCAGACCACAAAGCATGTGATATTATAACTTGTGTGGTTAATCTATGACGTAATGGTGATAATTTTCTCCAGTGTGATAAACATGGTGTTATTAACTGTTGTTGTTGATCAGGATAATTTACCTAAAAACATTCATATATTAAAGCTGATCATCATTGTCAAAATGGAGAATACTAAATTTGTTTTGTTGCTCCTGATAAATGAGTACCATCCTCATAAACTTTAACAAGTGCAGAAAAATAGGATGTAAATATCCTTTGCATTTTCTTTTGATGGAATCGTTTTGCATGAATATATGTAAATAGTCCTCAGAAGTACTAGAAATGTACGAAAATAATTCCTTCAAAAATATCTCAAACTAGGAATTTCTTTTCCAATTTCTATAGATGTCTTTTCTATCTATGACATTGTCACGAGAAAAGACGACTTGTCTTTTTATTTTTAAAACACAGATAATTCTAGACACACATGGATTTGAAGGCTCAAGTTTCGACGGTGAGCTGTGAACACTATTACCAATTGGCTTAGCTCAAAAATTCCTTTCTCTAGACTAAGGTAGAATTGGTAAAAAAAAAATGGCACCTGTCCCTTTCATGTATTATTACCTGAATTAGTATATTTCTGGTATTTTCAATATTTTCTACAGTAACATCCAATGGTATACCAGTAGTTAGACCAGCTGAGAATTTAACAGAACTATCTAAACATGTGACAGGGGCATGTATCTTCACTTCCGTCTTCCTAACTTGTTTATTGATGGGGAAGTTGGAAGGATGAATCAGTTCTAATGAAGTGTGTGTCACATGACGTATGATATTGAGTTTGGATGGTTCCAGATTCCCAAGTGGTGCTATCAGGTGTGTTGTGAATTCATCTGGTTGTATACTGTTGGTTTCTAAGAATCTGAAATATTGTTAGTGATCATATCGATCAAATCATAACATCAAAAAAATTCCAGAACCAATTGATTGTTAGGAACAGCTGTCTGTTGGATTACAGAAATATTCCCAACATAATCTTCAACATCGAAACAAAATAAATCATCATGTCCCAAACAATAATAAAAAATATACCTTTGTAAATGCTGTAGATAATTAATATAAGTTAATGAAAGATTTACCTTTGTAAATGCTGTAGATAATTAATATAAGTTAATGAAAGATTTACCTTTGTAAATGCTGTAGATAATTAATATAAGTTAATGAAAGATTTACCTTTGTAAATGCTGTAGATAATCAATATAAGTTAATGAAAGATTTACCTTAGTAAATGCTGTAGATAATTAATATAAGTTTCCGCTGTACGTAGTTGTTCTGCTAATGATCCATGTAATATAACAGATTGTAGCTGAATAGTTAAAGCTTGTAGTTCAGTTTGTCTTATTAATGAAAGTTCCTTATTACTGATACCCAGAAATAAGGTCTGTAGAGTAGTGGTTAATTTCATCACCTACAATAACAGAAAGATATTGTGTAGGCCTACTATGTTTAGTGAAGTATTGTTATGGAAATATAAAATATATCAAAGATAATATAATTCAATTGAAGGTTTTCACTTAATACTTACCTTATCAAGAGGTGCAATAACATTAGATGACAGTGTCATTTTCCCACTGGTTCTCTTAATATCACTCATTAACTACAATATACATTATCAATATCATTATTATCTCAATTCCCAGGATATCCTGAGACATATTTATCGTTCATATGTCACAATATCACGATAATGACATGCATAACAAGAGTTAAGATAGTACAGATAAATAAATATTTATCTACATGTCCCACTTATTATGGTTAGGATTGCTAAAAATATAAAATTATATCTCATTTAATTACTTAAAAGTATTACTTATTAATAATATATGATAAATATATAAAATAATTACCTTTGTGACCAATAATTGAGCATGTAGAAACATACTTGTACATTCTGCTACATGAGATATTGAAACATCTAATTTCTTCAATCTCTCCAAATCTCTGTAATTAGAACAATACAGAACTATTTATCTAAATATAATGCAATATCATCTAGATTAAACAATGTAAGAAATTCTAGATTACTTTATGTACTAATATCAAGATTACGTAATGAAATAAAATGTGGATTACTTAATGCAATAAAATCTAGATTACTTACTGTAATAATATCTAGATTATTTAATGTAATAAAATCTAGATTACTCAGAGTAATAAAATTGTGATTACTTAATGTGAAAATGTTTTTTTTCAAAAATCCAGACTAATTATTGTAATAAAATCAAGATCAATTAATGAAATAAAATCGAGGTTACTTAATATAATAAAATCAGAGTAATAAAATCTAGATTAATTAATGTAATAAAAAGACTAACCTGACTGTTAATTCTAGTATTTGTATAACAGATGAACTATCTAGTTTATCTAGATTAGTTAATTGTGAAACACACTGTGTAAGAACACCAGAAAGATTCTGTCGACTATTATTCACTACAATCTCTACATGTTGATTCAACTAGAAAAATGTAGGAAAATAAGTAAGCATTTGTAAAATTTGAGCTCAGATTTATTTCAAGCAACTTATTTGACAAAGATTCAGTAGAAATTATCATACCTCTAATCAATCTCTTTTAAACAGTGTTTGTAGACGTATCACTGTTTAATGTGATATAAACAGAGGTGCATTAACCTATAGGCAAACTACGCAGCTGCCTTTCGGCCAATGGAAAATTCGGGCCAAGACAAATTTTCTAACAGTAAAAATTATCACAGTTAATAAATTTCCGAGGGCGCATTGAAATTGTCTGAGCCTAATGGTGATGAATATCGTGCATATGATTGATGCTGGTGAGCTGATTGATCTGTTCCTGAAAAAAAAAAAAGATCGCAAACTTCCTGCCATAAAATTGTTATCACACCATGAGAAAAAAAATGAGAAATTAGGCCCTGTACCGTTTGTTTGCCTGCGGCCCAACAAGTCCAAAATCCGCTACTGGATATAAATGTCAATATTATAGTGATTCCATACTTACATCTAGTGATGGTACTAGTTCAGGCATACTACCACGTAAATATGTATAATGACGTAATGTGTGTTCTTGAAATAATGGTAACATGGTCGGACATTTGATAGCACTGTTAAATACCAACATTAGTACAGTAATATCTTTCAAAGAATTAGGGAAATATTATTCCAATTTGATCCTCATAAATGAAATATTTTGAAGAGAAGTTTCTTCAAGTTAATAGTCGTATGAATACAAGAAACCTTCATATCAAACTATCATGTCCAACTATCGAGTAGATTATTACCCAATATTAATATCAAATGTAGAAACATGTACAATTTTTAATTTTTGTACAAAAAAACTCTTCAGTTGAATAACTTTCACTTCATATTCTGTTCTCTTTAGAAAGCTAAAAATAAATGTGTGTAGAATTTGTCTGTGTTCAGAATGTACAGTGTACAATAAGAGTATTTTGTCAGGACAGAGATGCCAAATCAATAAATCAATCCTGGAACTGGGTTCAGTTTGTTATAAAGGACACTTCCACCATGTCACAATAGTAAGATATAATATAAAGAAAGGATACAAGCTGGATCATCCATATCTGGTTCAGGTGTATCAAAATAAGGATGAATACATAATAAATCAGGTACTAATGTTAAAGTTAGGTGTGGATGATTTAAACCTATATTACGACTACATCTACAAATACAACATTATCTTATTTTAACATGTACCAAAAATATCACAAAAAATCTCTTCATGTTTATGTCTGTAGAGTTCAAACTCAAATTTGACAATTCTTTTTTAGAAAAAAGGTGCTCTCCTTGAGATGTAACTTAGGTTGTCAAATGTAACGTTGGAGGGTAAGCGCTTTGATCTAGCCTAGATTTGCCCAGGTTGTCACCTTTCAAAAATATCAACATACCTCCAAACAGCTTCTTTATCTTGTGGATATCGTTGTAAATTATCTAATAACGCCATAACACAAGCATTAACACATTCTTTAGTGGCTAATTTAACATCACCTAACATAGAATGAGCTGTTTCACGTACTATAGCTGAATAATCCTGCAAAAGTTAATAATTCCTTTAAAATAACACTTACACAATCATTTTTATCATTTCAATAGCTGAATGTGGTGTCAACAACTGAAAGTTCATTAGACTATTTCTATGGCTGGATATATGGTTGTTTGCTCGTTGCAAATCTTACCCTCAAGTAAATCGAGAATCCTTATAATACTATTCAATAATATAATAGTCAGTCAGAAACTGTACTTTCAATACAAAGATAAATTAAGATATTAATAAAGATATAATTTACAAATGAAAAGTTGTAAGAATTATCCTATTGATGTTCTTGACATGTTCAGAACACACCCGGGAACATGCAATCAAATACATCCTAGAACTCACCTGTAAAACACCTAGAATAATATCTAGCTGATCTTCTCTCAATATTATATTATGACTGATCTTTCTTAAACTATTGATAGCATTTAACCTGATCATCTCAATCTCATCATTAAACATATCTATAATACTATCTTGTGATAATATAGAGAACTGTTGAGATTGGGCTGCTAGTTCACATAATGAATCTAATGCTGCATTTCTAACCTCTGACAAAAAAATTGAAAATTTCCAGCATTCTGACAAAATAAACATTGCCATAAGATCACTGAATATTATAGTCATTTTCTATGAAGGCGTTAGTTGTACATGGTTGATTGGATTCAATGCAAATATTTTATCTACTAAGAACTATCTGAAATACAAAAGGTCCTGCTAAAGCAACCAATATTTTTAAGCAGTCAGCTTCAATATGATAACACAGCTATGTGCCACTTATGAAGTAAATGACATATCAGCTACCATGTCCATTCTGCTATCAACTATCACTGTTTCCTAATTTTTATCATACTTGTTGTATTTGATGACTATTAACATTTGAGTAAATTCTGAAAATACAACCAGTAATATTACCTAAAAATTCATCTTCTAAACCATGAATAAAAGCTCCACAAGCTCCTATATTCATTAGATTAACACTTTCAGCATCTAATTCTTCTTTAGGTTTATCATCAGCCCATTTCTGTCCAGTAGACCATTCTCCTGATTGATAATGTTCTTTAGCTCTCTCACTAGCACTCTTCTTTCTCTGTACAAATTCAATCAAAATCATCACATCAATCTTAAAAGATTTGTCAAATGACAGGTTAAATCATTTTAGTGAATCTTGATCAAAACTTTACAGTTAAATATGTATATCTGCACTCATTTGAGGATACCCAAAGCATTTAGGAGACCAGTCACATTTTCTTAAGTCTTAATTTTCTTCTTGATTAAGAATCAAAATATTCAGTAAAACACTTAGTAAAATGTCAATAAAAATAAATTCAATAACCTGAACATGTAATAGATAATATTGGAACAATATTTAGAAGCAGTGAGCACATATGACAAAAGACGCAAGGGAATTTTTTATGGTATAACGCACAAAGTACATAACACAATTTACACGAGTCGTCATCAGATTTGATGAAGAAGAGGGTTAAAGATGAAAATACAGAGCAAAAGGGAAGCCTGTTATTACCTACCTTATGGCTTCTCTTTTGCTGTATATTCTCATGTTTATCACTGATTAGAAGTGTGTTTTACAATAACATATTCTCTTGTGTGTTTTGTCAAACATGCAATAGAGTCATAAAGTTCTAACTAATAGAAATAGGTATTTAGATAACTAAGTTTGTTTTTGGTATACCAGTTATAATATATATATCAACGTAAAAATACCAGTACCATTATAATATATATATCAATGTAAAAATACCAGTACCATTATAATATATTCATCAATGTAAAAATACCAGTACCATTATAATATATATATATCAATGTAAAAATACCAGTACCATTATAATATATATATCAACGTAAAAATACCAGTACCATTATAATATATTCATCAATGTAAAAATACCAGTACCATTATAATATATTTATCAACGTAAAAATACCAGTACCATTAGATACTTACCCTCATATTAGACATAAGTTTTTTATCTAAAGTCTGTTCTAGAAATCTGGAACTAACAAGATGTAGTGATCCCTGAAAAAAATAATGACAAGTACATTAATATTATTCAAATTTCAGATTTAAAATATACTTCTGCTTTACTATCTGAAAATAACATGCTGTATCAGAATCTAAGATTGCTCTAAATAACAATAGTGACAATACAACCTTAAAGAGACAAGTTCTCCATTTTATGGGGTTGATTTTGGGTCTTGGAAATATGTAAATAGTTTTCAGAAGTACTAGAAATGTACAAAAATAGCTGAATCTCTCAACATATCTCAAACTATAAATTTCACTTTCTATTTTTTTATACGTCTTTTCTATATATTACAGTCATCTTTTTAACTCAAACGCGGATAATTCTGGATACACATGGACACACAAGGCTCAAAATTTGACAATAGACTGTGAACACTATCAATGAGTAGCTTAGATAAAACAGTTCCCGTTTCTGAGACTGGAATTAGTCAAATGGAAGGTGAACCTGTCCCTTTCCTGTTTAGTAAAGCCATAGTCAATCACTTGTGTAGAATTGAACATTGAACATTGTCTTTGACAATATAGCTTTAGGTTTTTTTATATCCAGACAGATTGCATATGGTCGAAGAAATGAATGTCTTTTTAACTTACCAATAACGATGCTGCCTCAGCCCGTACTTTCATGGATATATCATTCATCATATTACAAATCTTGGCAAATCCATCATCTATTAATCTTAAATCTTCTCCACCATCTTCACTTTTGATTGTACTTAAAAATGATATTTAGACATTTAGACAGATATAACATCGCCCTCTTTAACAAATAATTGATTAGGAAAGATCTAGATAGAATAGTCAAGATAGAATGAAAATAATTCTTTAACAGGATAACAATTTATGTTCACCAAGATTCTTTCTAGCTTCCTTCATTGATCTTTCCCAGATTATTCTTTGTTGTCATATAAAGTTTCCAATACTCTAACTAACTTTGCTACATAACACATAAGTCATACAGCTGAAAGAATCTCTACTATTCACTGCAATGTCTATCTCTATATCTAAAAATATTGTAAGATCACTTACACTTCAGGATAGATATGACTTAATACCCAGATTAATTTAACAGCTGCCATTCTACCAGATTCATGATCATCTACTAATGATTTACATGCTTGTTCATAAATCATCTGATCTAACTGTATACCACGTTGGTGAAATGATAGCTGAAATGAACCAAATTTTTTGTATAAATGTTTGCCCCAATAAAAAAATTAAGTATTCAAAAATGATCATGTAAATATGATTTACAAATTCCTTTCTTTTTTTCAGAATTATTTTGTCTCTATTGTAATCTTACTAGTGTTCCACGACAGTCCTTTTTGAATGAAGATCATGAGTACAGTTTGCCAATTTATCTTGAATATTATACTGTACTCACCATAGCTTGAAGAGAACTAAATCTTACTCTAGGATCTTGATCATTAGTAATGTTTGCCAATATATCTTGTATGTTATACTGTAAACTTACTCACCATAGCTTGAAGAGAACTAGATCTTACTCTGGGATCTTGATCATGAGTAAAGTTTGCCAATATATCTTGTATGTTATAATGTATACCATTGTCTGTTTTATAATGATTACTTGATAGTTTTCCAATTAAACTCAAACATTTACTTCTCACCATATGACAGGAATCTTTTAACATCTAAAAAATTATATGATTCCAAATACATTCTGTCAGGTGCTGACAAAGACATCAAAACAGCTAAGAACATGTTCAGATGGTGGGGGGGTTAAGTATATATACATGTGTTATCTGTTTTAAAAACACATCAGAATTGAACAGTATATAATTTGAAATTGCAATGTATCGTGAAAATGGTATATTGTTAAGCCCTATCAGAGTTTTTAGTATAGAAATCTATCTTATGTTATTACCTGAACAGCTTTCTCTACCAATTCCTGTATTACAGCTGTATTAGATGATGATATAGTTTGACCAGCACTAGTTAGAGATTCTACTATACTTCCTTGTACTTTATGTGATTCTGAAAGCAAAATTTTAGCAATAAAATATATTATATTTCCCATTTGCTTCACTGTTAAGGTCATGAAGAATGTCAAGGTGAAGTTGCAAATACAATGGTATAAATAAGATAAATAATCAATTGTATGTATCATGTACCTCAAGAAACAATAAACTTAACTTACTCTCAGTATTGAGCAATGACATTAGCCCATTGATAATCTCAGCTACATCACAGCCTGGCAACTTAGACATCTCACCTATCAATTCCACCATCTTACATCTAACTATTGTCTCTTTTTCATGAGAGAAGTGATCTAGAATTTGAGTCACCACATGACTGGTCTGTTCTCCTTGTATAGGTAGTGTATTGCCAAATCTCAATAATATATTTAACACATCTTGGGAGTTGGTTGCAGACGACAAATTCAGATTGATTTCAGACGTCACTGGTTTCTGTACAAGTCTTAGCTTCTTTATTGGTTTTGGTTCCTCCTGAAGGTGCATAACAAATACATGTACTAATAAATCATTTATTCACAACAAATTTGTTATATTTGAGGTGGAACTAAACACTGGCGGAGGGCGAAATATCTCAGATTTCTCGAATTTCTAACCTAGTTATAAGATTTTTGCCCGAAAAACTTGCTTTAAGGGCTAACGTATAAAGTCAAGGATGTGAAGTAACACAAAAAAATTAGAACATTATTTGATAAGGATTTCCACTAAACTGGAAGGTTGGAAAATTACACCCACCACGAAATATGTACCGGTACACAAATATTGTTCTCTGCAGGGCAAACAAGAGCGGGAATAGGATACCTGTATAACTTGACTGTACTCAGCAAGTGCTCTCTTCTTTAAAAGAGCAGCCATGGTGATTCTATTAAATTCAGCGACTGGTATTTATATTTATCTTTTTGTGTTTCTTGAACCTTTCACTACTTCCATTTTCAAGGGGACATAACTACTGATTTGCTCTTCCTTGTAGAGGAAAGAAAGGTCATTTATTTTATTTCATTTACCCAGACGTAAATGTCAAATAAAATCCAGAATCAAATTAGGTCTTGACAATCTAGATAAAACAAAATGGACGTAATAGTTGAAGAACACGTCAATCCTGACGATTTAAAGGTTAATTTTATACTTTTTTGATCTCAACACTTGTTTTTGAGTTAAGAATTGTGTAATCTTATCCATTTTTTAGCATTACATTTCACCAAACTCATATATTTTGTTCAAGGAAGCAGAGTAATTTGGACTTTTGTAATGGCTTTTTTGGCATGGACTTTTTTTTATTTGTCGTAATGAAATAAATTACGGTCGAAATGTGACAATGAATCATCATTACCAGAGATTTTCGGTACAGATTTAGACATTTACAATATCATAAACACTATACAGTGAATATCTCAATTGTTTTTAGTGAATGACAATCTTTCCTTTACATATCATTTTCAAAAAAGCTATGGCTATCCTATTCGAGATTGTCTCTCTTCATGAGATTTGATTTACAATTTCTTATTAATTTATAGAAATATGAAGCTCTGTACAGAGATCAAGAAAGACGAGGTCCCCCAAGTGATAAAGCTACATTCGATTATGCTTGGTGTTTAGTTAGAAGTAAATATTTGAAAGATATGGAAAGGGGGACATCTTTATTAGAAGGTATAAAACCTGTATAATTTTGTAGTATCCCTTATTGGAAGGTTGAAGTTAAGTCACTACTGTCCCAATAGATCCAAACTGTCAAATTGTCCACTGATTAGTCCGAAACAGCTGCCTCTGTTCCAGCCTCTGATAGATATTTTGACAGTTATCAGCTGAAATAGTCAGAAAAACTAGTCACTGTTTTATGGGATTTTTCCACATCTTCTAAGATGCGCTTTTCAAACAAAATATTAAATTACTTTTACAATGACTGTAAATTAGTGTTGTGTATCATTGTAACTTTCTTTTTCGCATGCAGTTTTAAATGGCTGATGAGAGATTAGTTTTGTTAAAAGAAACTTTGATGGAACCACAGATGTGAGATGAATGGTGTAGGGGAAATTATGCTGGTATGACTGAACTACAAAAATATCCATCTTTCCGAATATATCTGGGTTTGGCAGATCCGATTTCAATTTGAAAGTTAGAAAATGAGAGATTTTGTATCAATTTTGCCTAATGAAACATGTTTTTATTTTAGATTTATTTCACAATACAAAAGATGAAGGTGCTAAAAGAGATTATTTATACTATATGGCTATAGCATATACAAGAACTAAGGTGATTTGATTTTATTATTAGCCATTGTTTGTTTGTATCAAATAATGATTAGGTTATTTCATTTTATTATTTTTAGGGAAAATTATTTGAGTTTTAAGCTTGGAGTTTGAATTTGTTTCTTTCACTCAAAAAACAAGAATCTGTACTCCAATTTTCTTACATGCCACCATAATACTTTCCTGGTTTTATAGTTTAAATATCAGGATGTCCATCTGAGGTTTTCAAGTTTTGCACTTGACTTCTTCGAATTATTTGTCAATAATGAAATTTTATATAGCTGTGATCTAATTGTCTGTGAGGTCACCTACTTGATAACCTATTTCCAATTTAGTAAATTTTTGTATTTTTTTTATTATTAGCACTATGATACAGCCCTGAAATATACCAAAGCTATAAAACGTATAGAACCTAATAATAGACAAGCTACACAATTAGAAAATTATATTAAAGAGAAAATGAAGAAAGGTTTGTATTCTTGGAGATAATGTGTGTGGGTTAAATTTTATGATTTCTGTATGATGTGGATGTCATTAAGAAAGATTTTATAAATTCATATAAAATGTGATAAGCCTTTTATTTATTATTTCAGAAGGCTTAATGGGTATGGCAATAGTTGGTGGAGCAGCTTTAGCACTAGGTGGAATAGTTGGACTGGGAATAGCAGCCTTGGCCAAAAAATGACTGGATTAATTGGACAGATTTTAATGCACTTTCTATATGTACAATGTTAATATTCTAGAACATGTTATAAAACCAGTCTCACATTTTACAAGAAACATTATGTAACATTATTTGTTTCTTTTAAAATGACATAATTTATTTTGAAAACAGTTGTATTAAAACAGTCAATTTAACCCAGGAAGGATTATTGCTAGTGAACTTAATTGTGATCATGGTTCCAATGAGAAACTATAATGTGGTTCAAAAAATTTAAAGTTAGAATTTAATATTCACTAAAGGAAAGTTGTAAATGCTATCTGCAAAACAATTCTTTAGTTAAATCTGTTAATGGTTTAAAGGTGATTTCCAAGATCTATGTAAAATCCATTGTGTAAGAGTGCTAGAGTACTTGTTATTTGTTGTTCTTATATTATACAAGAAATATTTAATTGGTTATTGTTTGTTCAATGCAGTTGATTGGGTTTGAGTTATCAATCACTTATGACATGGTAACAAAAAATGCTGGGCTTGTAGATAATCTTTTCTTGGAACATGTTGAAACATAAACAAGTCTATTTTGTTTTGTGGAAAATATTATGCTACATGAACTTTATGTATGTTATATGTATGTATAACCAAATATGAAATAGATAGACCTCAGATATGCACAGATAGCTTTATTTGAATAGAAGCTATTCTTTCAATCTTTTTTGACATTTTCAAGGTCTAATAAATGTCTGCTAAATAATAAGTTAAACAATTATTGAAGTTTTAATCTATATTCATCTTTGAAATTAAAAAATGTATATATACCAAGAATTATGTAAACTGGTACATTTTAAATGTACCTATATGAACAAACAATTTTAACTCTACAATACATTTCATTCTCTGCTTGGGTTACAGGCAATAATGTTAAAAAAATGCAAGTTCAGGAAATTAACATAATTTTTTTTTTACATTATACTTAAAAACACATGGAACAGTTATCGATGAAAATATTGATTCAAATTTTCTTGAGGTTCTGCACCAAAGGGGCACTAGGATCTTCAGAGTTTATAGTATTTTTAATGTATTATATATCAAGAGTCACATTATTTGTTGTTGTCACTGTCAGCACTATTTTGTATATATGAAATAAAGGTATAAATATATTGTAAACATTCACTTTAATTAGAAAGACTAAAGATTCTGTAGTCTATTCTATTCCTGTTTGAAGTCTTTTACAGTTTTTTTTTTCTACCTTCAAGTAGTTTTAATAACATGAGCTAATTTTTCTATCTCATCTAAACAAGTTGATGCATTCTCCTTCAAATCTGAAAATACAAAATAAAAATTAACTTACATTATACATCTAACACTTCTGCTGTTGATTATAAAGCTGGTAAACTCATAACAAAAATTTGGCCAGAACAGTTTATTTCTGATTACGTATTGATCCAATTGTATTTGAAACCATAGTCTTCGCACATTCACCAGTAAATAAAATTTCCTTTTAATTTCTATAAGAATAGGAATATCAGCTTCAAAATAGAACTGATTGTCTATGAGACTAAGTCACTTTTGTTTATACAGATGACAATTTTCAGTCCAACTTATCTTTTTGTGAGATATTTTGGTTCCAGGGACATGTATTCCTCTACAATTTAAAGTTATAAATTTATATTATTATCAACACAAAGTCATTCTTAGACTTATAGTACCAGAGTTGATATCTAAATTCATTTCGTAATGTCAACAAGTTTCAATTTATCACAAAAATGCTTGTATTGAAACTGTATCGCTTTTATGTCTCATTGGTAAAAACACATTTCACATTGAAAATTGTCTTTTTGCAATTAATTCATTAAAGGTCCTGTTTGAAATACAATTTATAGGTAAAAATCAATGTATCTCAGAAGTCAATATTTCCCAGCAATAATCACTTGAACTCACCATCTGAAAATAAGGCATCACTTTCTTCTAAATGATTTAACAATTTATCTAATTCAGCCTGGGTTTTATCAGCCAACTCTAACTCCTCTCCTAAACTACAATTGGCAAACTGAATCTGAAATTGTCAATCAAAACTACTTAAACATTCATGTTTAAGTTAAACTAACCCCTTGCCTATTTAAAGTTATAACTGGATACAAACTGAAATCCAGTTGCATCATGCCTATATAAGAATTTCCTCAGAAGACAGTATGTTTTAAAAACCAACTAAGCTTTAGACTTAGAAGATCAATACTTTTTTAAAATTTTGTTTTTTAGAAATGATGTTTAATCCTTAGGAAACTTTTCTCTACCAACTTACATTATGGTTATCAAATAGTTTGGGACAGGGGACCAGCTAGTTGTACCTGGTTGAATCTGACATAAAAGCCTAAAAGGTTGTCAACCGCTGGTTTGGGGTAAAGATAACTTGACTTTTAAGCCACAACCATTGTGATACTCACAGCTTGAACTTGTTCTTGTAAATCTAAAATCTCATCCTCTAGTTTTTCTCTTACTAATTCTTCTTCTTGTATCTTATCTTCAGGTAATACAACATGAGCTGGGATTTTTAATACATTATTAAATGTATAGCACTGAAAATAATTATGAATTCATATTTTACATCACAATAATACGGAAGCGTATTATGGCCATTCATTTTTTTTTTTTGAATTTTCAAGTTAGTATGTTGAATTTTCAAGATACTAACTTGAAAATTCAAGTAACTAACTTGAAAATTCGAGTTACTAACTTGAAAATTCAACATACTAACTTAAAAATTCAAAAAAAAAAAAAAATTAATGGCCCTCATACGCTTCCGTACAATAAGAACTGTCGAACTCATGACATAGATATTTAGCATATAAGCACTACAGATTTTCATAGAAATACAATAATCTATGATATAAAACTACATTTGCTCATTTTAAAATCATAATTATTGCATTAATCTTATTAACATTGTTAAATAAATGTTCTCTTAGTACCTCAAAATGGTCAAAAATGTTATCAAATTCATTTTCTATAGATTCTTGTATGTCTCTCATTTCTTTATGTACTTCTTTTTCTGTTATAACATCACTGTACTGGAAAAAAAAATAACAACATAAAAATACACAGAGCTCCTGCACATTTCTGAAGATTATCACTTACTAGAACTGAATGTCAACAAAATTTCAAAGGTACAAACCTCTTTCAGAATCATTTCCTTCATAGCACCAAGCCCATCAGACATATACTGGTTAAATGCGTTAAAAACTGAAATGCAATTATTTAAGTTCATATAAAAGCAAAATTCCAAAATAGTCCATTTTAAGTACCAAGTCAGTCAAGACTAACAGTCTAACTCACAATAATACAAATCAAAAGTTTGAGCTGGTTTAAGCATAATGAATTGATGTGCTTAATTGTCTGTATTCAGGCCTGATAAACAGGTTGGTCTCGGAAGCAAGCAAGGTTACCAAATACAGACTAATAGTATAACTGTCCTTAATAATTCTGCTCACCAAAAGCTACAGATGGTTGAAAATACTGATTAAGAATGAAGGAACAACTAAAAAACTAGAAATAATCCTGAGACAAAAGGTACATGGGATTGGCTGCATGCATAGGTCTACCTACATATGAGAAAACTTACTTCCATTACTAAAAGATGGAGGTGTAAATCCTAATAATTGTGTTTCATATTCATCACCAGCTGATTTAGCTGTGACTTTACTTGTTTCATCATCAGTATCCATTATATTTCTCCTTTCTTATTTCATAGCCTAATAATAATGAGAACATTGTAACATACCTAAACAATTTGATATAATGAAATACAATAAAACATGCAGCCTACAGCACTACAGGTAAAATTGTGGATTTTGATATGTAATCAATGTCAATACTGTAATAGGTTATTCAAACATCCCCCCCCCTCTTTGCATAATCACATTATTATGTCAATGTCCATATGGATGTGTTATTCATTGAGTGTGTTGATCATAGCATTCAATTGAAATGCCCCAGCTTAGCAACTGAGACTGAAAAGCGAATGTACATATGAGTGAGGTAAACAGATTAAATAAAGAGTGGGAGCGTACTCCCAAAGAGTAAGCGCGGTCATGGATATGTCCAGTTAGTGTCCTTGGTGGGACTCGATAAAGATGCTTGATCTTTTTTCGAACGAATTTGAGTGTCTAGGTCTGATAATATTATACAGTTGGGCCTAAATATAAAATAAGACATTACATTCTCAAAACTACCGCCATTTTCAATAAACTCTCAATCTTTTTCAAATGAAGAAGAGCTTGTCAGTGCATCATAATAAGATAAATCTACAAACAATTTACGTTTTTGACTATGGTTTTCAAATTTATGAAGATATTTCATCAAATAATTATATTAGAAAATCGGTGATAAACTTAAATATTGTAAAATTTTATAATAAACAACTGGATTAGAGACTACTTAATTGGGCTATACTAAACACCAAAATGATTCGCAATTAACGAATAAGAAACCGACAAACAAATCGTTGACAAAACGAACCCACGACAATTGAAAATTTCGCAGCCTTATTCAACCTATTCCCCAAAAATATTTCCCAAATGTAGCAAGTTATCACTATGAACCATAGACAAAAGTATCACCAAAGAATGACATCTTATAGTTTCTATAACTCTATGATTTTAAGACATCTATGGGTATCACGGCCACACGAATTTAGCCCTAATTTCATACTTCCGGTCTGGTCAATTTGTAAACAAAATTTATTTCTTTAATTTTACTTCGCACTGAAATGTCGTTCCACATTCATGTATTAAAGAACAATGCATATAAATTCGCCAGACTAAATAATTTCGCATTGAACACTGATTTTTATGACAAGAGGGTTGACAATGTCAAAGCAGAAGAAGTTCAGGTAAATAATGAAATCGGTTGACCGACCGGCTGATCGTTCAAACATTCAAATTGAAATCAAAGACTTTCAGAAGTGCTTTTAGTTTTGAATTGATATTTCAAAATTCAAACAGGTGGACAATTAAGCGACTTAGGAGAGTGAGGATCAGAACTGGTCTAGACCCTAATCTCTCTTGGTTCTGCTCAATTCCCATCTTAATCTCTTATTTTTTTTATTTCACAACATCACCTACATCACTATTACCCTCCAAAATCCAAAAGGGGAGCCGAGGTGCTTGGATAGCACCCCTGTCAATGAAATCCTGGCTACTCCATTGTTCATTTGTCAATTGCAAAAAATGTTTTTTAATTTTTCAGAGTCATTGTGATATGAAGCGAAGGAAGCAACCTGACAAAAATCTCAAGCCTACATTACCAGTTATTTATAATCATGTGATCTTCAAGCCATTGCAAACATTGGCAGCAACTCAAACTCTGCCAGGATTGTATCAAAAGCAAGCAAGAAATCCAAATGCTTTTCAGATGTCTGATGTGGAAAGAATATTAGTTACAGCCTCAGTACCTAATGAAAACAAAATCAAGGATGACTTTTATATAAAACCATACAGTCATACTTTCTTTCGTCAAGCAGATTACACCAGTCTGAGTGATAGCATAATTAGTCAAGAAAAACTCTCTATTACAATGTATCCAACAGAACATATTCAAAATGTATTAAAAGAAATGAATAGTATAAAAAATGAAATGGATAGAATGAGAGACAATGTATTTCAGTGTTCTAGTGGTGATATACATAATAAACCTTCTTCTGATTCCAACTCTAAACCAGATGGTGCTCCTTCTCAACAACAGTTGAATGAAATAAAAAATATCTTAACAGAAGATGTATGGATATGTATATTTTTTTTGATTCTCCAGTCCAGTCATAACGTATTTCAATATAATTTTCCATCTGATTATGCTTTTGAGACCCCTGTATCACTAGATGCACTATGAAAATACAAACTTTGCGTCCGATATGCATTTTGACATGCTTTGTTCTATCAATGTTAGACTTCTTTTTATCCCTTTGAATTTTTCAGGTCCCTAATTTTTTTGAAAAAAAGCTCAGAACTGAATGCTATCATAAAAACATCACTTTTGAAAATAATTTTTTCAAGAAGAAGCAGGTTACTCAGTAAGTTATTTAAATATCACACTGTTGATCATTTTTACTTGTGAATTTTGTTGAAATTACTTGGGAAGCCATAGTACAGAAGTTGGAATCTTTATGACTTTTGCTTTTGATACAAAGCTAAAATTATTGTTAACCTCATATTATTACAAATAAACAGTTCACAGAATAGTAAGATTGTAAATTAATTTTTTTTATATTTCAGAGGTATCCAATCTTATTGGCTTCAGTTAGCAAGTCTCAAATCATTAGGAAGATTGTATTATTCAAAGCCAAGAATGGAAATATTAAGCATGAGCTCTCATATAGAGAATGGTACAGTTATTGTAAGATGGAGAGTTTCAGGTATTCCACAACTAAGAGTATTACAATTTTGGAAGTTCAGATCAAAAGAACCGTTGGAAATAGTGTAAGTTATTTACTTACTATGTCAGATCTTTAATTGATAAGAAAACTACTTATGAACAGCTTGGTGCTGAGACAGTTTTTGATTTGCCAGTATTTTTCTGTGGCTTGAGTCTTTTTTTCAGGAGAAATTGTAGTTACTATGCTTATTGTGCATGGATGAATGATTTTCACAATGTTAGCTTGCTTATACAGTCAGATACACAATGAGATTAGTGACTTTGGATGAGATTATTTCTCATTAAAGAGCTCTCAGGACAATTCTGTTTGGAGTCTCCTCTACAATCTGTACATAGCTTTATTATTTTTTTGTTTCAAATTATGAGATGGTTGCATATGAAACTACTGTTGATTTTTATAATGTTTACTGGCTGTTGATGATTTTCGTATTTACAGGTGGCATGAAGGTATTTCAACTTTTTATGTAAAAGATGATGGATTAATTCATTTACATAAGTTAGACAGGGTATGTATTTATAAAACATATTTCACAGTTTAGTACACTATCCTCTTTGCCCTATGCATAATATAAGAATGTTATCCTACATATTAAAAACTATCTTCCCTGATGAAGATTATATCTGAAGCTTTTTCAAAAAAATGTGTCAACAGTAAAAAATGTTGTCTTATCAATAAGAGTGAGGAGTATTTGTATTGTAAATATTGTTGTTATTGACAAGAGATGGTAAAGAGTTCCCTACCAGTAGGGTAAAACTAACCTGTCTCACGACAGTCTAAACCCAGCTCACGTTCCCTGTTGGTGGGTGAACAATCCAACGCTTGGCGAATTCTGCTTCGCAATGATAGGAAGAGCCGACATCGAAGGATCAAAAGGCAACATGTGTTCAGTTAATTTGCTTTCTTTGCTTATATCCTTAAATTGTTTCAAAGTTTTTTTATCCATTTAGTTAATGTTTCTTTTTTGTCATTGTAGATGTTAATGGACAAAGGGCCCATGGCTAAAAAAGCCAAAACATTAGCAGCTAGACTAGCTATAGCATTAGGTCTAGTACCAAAGCCTAGTTTAGAGTGTAGCCCATTTGGGATTAAGAGGAAATAGGAAAATAGGCAATAGATACCTCAATATACCGTCTTTCAATATAGATGTTGTGTTAGTTTCAGTCTAATTAAAATTACACCAAATGTTTGTTCCGTTTTTTATAAGATTTTATATTTAATGAAGCCACTACAGTTAGGGTTAGTTAGTTAAAGTAAGCTAGTTTTAAACAACGCTCGGCACATTGTGGACTTGATAGTAGTCTTATGCTCCAGGGAATATATTTTTTGTTAGTCACAAAATCCAAATGCTGGAGAGAAGAAATTTGATTGGTTGAAACATAAGGTCATCAAGTTATGTCAAATGGTTATTGACTGAATATTCAAGTATGCGCTCGTTAGACCCTAACTGTAGTTGTTATATTGAAAAAAAAAAGTTAATAGAAAACGGTCTAATTTTAATCAAACTGGACAAGTTTTTGTTGACTTATTTATTGTGATCTTGAATATGTGGTGCATTTTTGAGTTTCCTATTTAACTGCTTATTAGTAAATGATTGGAACACAACACAGGCATAATTTATTTAAATCAGAAACTGTCAGAATTTAAGATTGAATAAATGAGAGAATAGCACAATATTTAATGGTTATGTAAGTAGAAATTGTAAATAAAGTAACTTGTTACATTAGATGAGTTTAATCCATTATGTTCTAAGATACTTAAGTCCTCAAGATGACAGATTTGCCATTTTTTGGTCTTGAATTAGGTCTTGAATATATGTCAATAGTCTTCAGAAGTACTAGAGATTCAATCTCTTCATAAACGCCTCAAACAAGGAATTTCAATCTCTTTTTCTATATATGTCTTTCCTAAATATCTGAGTTGTCTTTTTAACTTTCAAACATGGATAATTCTGAACACACATGGATTTGAAAGCTCAACAGTGAGATGTGAACACTGTTACTGATTAGCTTAGCTAGTTAAGTATGATTGGTCAAACAGATGGTGAACTTGTCCCATTTAAGTCCCTAATCTTATTTCAAGCACAAACTTGTCATCTCATAGTGAAACTTTCCTACATTCTGAATAATGAACTGCCATAAAATGCGCAGAGATACTTGGCATTTATTAAGGACACACACAAGCATAAAAATAATCAAATACTTGATCACTGACATGATCACTATTGATTTGTCCTCTGAAAAATTACTTTTGATCCTCATGTGTTCTCCTTCTGTCGATCTTGTAGTGTACTTTTCCTTTTTAAAGCCCGGCTATTTAATAATAACATGTTTCTTTGGAAATACTATTTTTAAAGGAACAAGATATTAGGTAGGTATAAGACAATTCACAATTAGGATCGTCAACTACCCTTGTCACTAACGTTTCAATGTATAGAAATAGAAACCTAGCTCACGGGTCACCGTCTTAATTGACCAAATTTGATAGCACGAGTTGCACCCTTTTGACAGAAAAAAAAACTCTTTCACAGATGATCTATTTATGGTCTAGTTGTATATACTAACTTTTGTATTGAATTATCTATAAAATCATGATATTGTTCCCCAACACGGTCTTTATGATAGTTAAAACCCTTCCCTCGGAAAATCCCTCTAGTTGCGGACCCTCGGCCATATTTACCCTATACCCCACAGTAAACATTACATATTATTAACTCACAATGAATATAAAATTATATGTGAACCCTCATAGTACATGTATACCCTACAGTATAGTTTACGCATCATCTTACAATATGAAATATAAAATTATATGCATTATGGATTACATATTAGCTCACAATGAATATAAAATTACATGTATTACAGTATAGATTACATATCGGCTCACAATGAATAATGTAATATAGATAACATATCAGCTCACAATGAATATAAAATTACATGTATTACAGTATAGCTTACATTTTTAGCTCACAGTGAATAAAAAATTACATGTATTATGGATTACATATCAGCTCACAATGAATATAAAATTACATGTATTACAGTATAGATTACATATCAGTTGACAATGAATATAAAATTACATGTATTACAGTATAGATTACATATGAATATATAATTACACGTATTACAGTATAGATTGCATATCAGTTGACAATGAATATAAAATTACATGTATTACAGTATAGCTTACATTTTCAGTTCACAATGAAAATAAAATTACATGTATTATAGTATAGCTTACATTTTTAGCTCACAATGAATATAAAATTACATGTATTACAGTATAGATTACATATGAATATATAATTACACGTATTACAGTATAGATTGCATATCAGTTGACAATAAATATAAAATTACATGTATTACAGTATAGCTTACATTTTCAGTTCACAATGAAAATAAAATTACATGTATTACAGTATTGCTTACATTTTTAGCTCACAATGAATATAAAATTACATGTATTACAGTATAGATTACATTTGAGTTCACAAAGAATATGTAATTGGTTTCCCGTCAGATTATCCGAATTAAATTTTTCTAATCCGGATTAGTTGGGTTATATGGATTAGTCGGATTAGGGCAGATAAAATTCTACTAATGAGCTGATATAAACCATGTTCACCTAACTTAAAGTGAATATTAGTGATACAAGTTCATGTGTCAAAATCATCCTCCAACAGAAGGCTGAGATCCGCAACCAAGAACCATTTTCACTGCCATTGCAAGCAACCCAGATGTGAACTTATTCGTGAGGAGAGCATCTGCTCTACCTCTACTTAGACCTGAACATATCGAAGATTACTGGTTCAATGTCCTAGAAGCCGCTAACATGGAAGATCCCTCAATTGCAAAGTTTGCTGACTATGTGACCGAACAGTGGGTGGAAGGAGAAGATATACATATGTGGAACCATTTTCACACTGTAGGTCTGCGAAACGCGAATCATGTTGAGGGGTGGCATGCTTGAATGGACAAGATGACCACCAACCATCCTAACATCTTCAGATTCATCACCCTGATAAAAGCTGAGCAAGCAATGACCGAAGTGACCATCAGTCAGCTACAGTCTGGTGGTAAGAAACGCCCCAAGAAGAGACAGTATCGCCAATTGGAGCATGAAGTGGACCGCCTGAAAGTCTGTCTTCAGAATAACAGCAAGACAATGATGGAATATGGAGATGCCGTCTCCCATCTTGTTGGCTTGTAAAATTAATAGAATGAAAATATCAGTTCATTAGTAGAAGTGTATCTTCCCTAATCCGATTAATCCGTATAACCCAACTAATCTGGATTAGAAAAATTTAATCCGGATAATCTGCCGGGAAAGTGGGAACACCCCATATAATTACATGTATTACAGTATAGATTCCATATCAGTTCACAATGAATATAAAATTACATGTATGTATACCCTTTAGTATACATGTTTATATTAGCTTACTTAGTTATTAAATTACATTATACACTATACAGTATGGATTCTATATTAACTCACACTGAATGTAAATTGCAAATGCACCTAACAGTATATCGAAAATCTACATACTTTACATAATTACCCTTACTGAAATTATATAATATTCGATTAGTCATGTTCGTGGGAGTATAATAGAGCTAATTGGGCGGTGGAAGTGGGAGAGCGAAAAAACGGAAATAGACTGACCAGTAACGGTTCAGTGATCACATTTACCAATAATCAAAGGAGTCTAGCTGTAATATACAGGTAGAGATCTACATTGTTTACATGTTGCTAAGTGAAAATAACAAGATGGCTGACCTGTTATATCTTGTCTTTAAGTATTTATGTGTAATTCAAGTCATATTATATTTCTGAAGGAAAGAAAAAGAACACGTTATTCAATACATTGAAGGTAAGTTAAAATATTTGATTACTTTAATATACTAGAACATTAAATAGAATATGATATTCCTCTTCAGAGATGAACTTCTGAATGCCTACAATTAAGATTATTAATTCATATTTGTCTATTACTTAAGCTTGTCTCCATGGCACATCCTTTGTAATGTTTTTAACTGTAGCGTAGTATTGTAGGTGTCATTAAATGATATAATTTGATTGTCATGATGGATATTTAGACCGTAACGAACAACTGTTTGCAAATGAACTATCCAGGAACCCCCCTTCGTGTAAACCTACGGAATTTATATTGTGTGGTGAAATATTTTAGGGGTGTAAAATAATGTTTAAAAAAAATCAAATTACACAATCTTGAAAAACATGTGAAATGATCCCGAAACGCCTGAGTAGAGGAATTTGACAAGTGTCTATGGAAAGACTAATGGTGTAATAAGTTCTGACTATTGTTATATTAGCTTACCAATTAAATAATATAATAGTATTTGATTAGACCGTCTGACCTTTTCCTATTATGACATACAAAATATTAAGAGACAGTGACTGTATATTATATTGATCACCAGGGAAATACTCCCGATACAAACATCAACTGATGTATCAAATCTTGCCTATTTTATTGAATAGAATTTGAATATAATCTTCAAATCAGTATTGATAATATTTCATCAATAGTCTTTGATAAATTTTGTTTATCAACTTTTTTCTTTCACATATTGAATAGAAGCCAACTTCTCAGACACAATATAAAAAAACAGGACTGGTATCATTGCTATATGCAGTATATTTATGCGTGCTTGTGTCTTTTCAGCTAAAATCATACTAACGACTAAATTTGACATAATGTCCTCTCATAAAAAATACTTTATGGTTTATATCTAGTAGGTTAAAACAACCACAAGACATACCACAATGACAGAACAAGTAGGACAAGAACTTCACGAATTAGACATTAACAAAGAAAATTCCAATGTTGAAACCTCACCCAGTCCAGATTTATCAGAAGGTATTCCTGGTGTTGTAAATGAGGGATTTCAACCAGAATCTGCAAATGTGCATAGCACAAAATTTGGATCTGCAGGCAGTCCCGAGGAAGAGTTACCTCCTCTTACCTTTGTCGACTTTATGCCTAGATGTATTGGTTATGAAGAAACTGCTGATGGCAAAGAACCAGAATTTGCTCAGTTCAGGTAAATTAAGACACTTTCTTTGAAATTTTCTTTGTGGAAAGAAATGTTTAAGCCCGAAGGTGTTTCTAGGAAATATCAGGTGAGGGGTCGGACAAGGGCCTCAAAACTTTATAGGAAGCGGGGTGATGGGTATCACAGACTATTCTTTCACGATGTAAAATGATTAAAACAATATACTTTAATGTAATTTGTGTTATTTTGTAGAACTGTGATGGAACAAGCTAATCAATGGTTATTGTCAATGTCACAATATAAAGTGTATAAAGTAGAAACCATTGATAGAAAATTATTATCAGATCTAAAACTTGATCTAGATACCACATTATACCACGAATCAAGTCATGGTGAAACTATTTATCTTAGGGGATTAAGGTAGGCATAGTTATGAGTCATATTACAACATAGGACAATTTATTAAATCATGCCCAGACTAGAAAGTTGTCGAGACATAATCATTAGGAACACCCTTCTTGATATGGAAGGATTTTCCACCATATGCATTTTTCTAAGCCTAGTATATCATCTAACTATCTTTCAGATTATGGATAGTCCCCCAAACGACACCCAATGAAGCAGTACAACAGATATCCTATATTACAGTATTACCTGATCAAGCTAGTACAGGATCTAAAGAAAACTTTGCTTCTTTAGCATTATCATCAAGTTTTAGAATGCGAGCTGATCGACCAGTACCTTTCTTTGATGATATAACTTCCACTTTTTCCAAATTAAATCGACATTTACAGAGTAGACCATTACCAGGTAAGATGGTATTTAGATGACCAGGTCGATAGTACCTCATACACCCATATAGCCGTCTCATGTACATCATTTCCATCTAAGTCAATCAAATAACTGTATTTACAAACCTCTATGGTACACAAAAGGTGGCTATTTTAGTCAAGTTAGAAGACAAGTCGTAATACCTTGACAATTCTTTTCGCGACCATGTTCTAAATCTATTTTTATTTTATTTCAGGGAAGATATTAAATATTGAAACTTTCCCATTGAAAGTAATGGAATCACTAAAACCTACAGAAAAACCTGATGTAGAGAAATCGTGCTGGTCAGATATGGGGAAATTAAGTCGTTTGTTTATATATGCTATTAGAATATTCTATATTCCTGGTGAACAGAAATTTGAGACAGTCGGTATGTATTGTCTTAAATGATAGTCTTTTAAATATTTCCTTTAGCAGTTAAGAGAGGTTAATTTTATATATCCTTATCACGTTTTAATATCAGTCTGTAGTATAAATGGCAGAAATGACGTATATAGAACGTCATTATTTACACTGAAGCTGCCTGGAATGCCACTGTGATGTTCCCGC